CGTCGCCGGAGAGCAACGTCCTCGCTGGAGAGCATCAATCTTTTGCTCATTCATTAGGGTTTCGAGGGTTTTTTTTCTTGAATTGGAGGCTTGGAGAAAGAGGAATGAGGGGATGTGAGGTTAGGATTTAGGAGAGAATTGAGGGGTTTTACCCTTAGGGGCTGTTTGGTTGGTTTCCTAAAAACCAAGAAAAGGAAATCAATAAAATAATATTTTTATCCATTTCCATCCCTAAAACTCACCACAACATCTAATAAAATATTATTTTTATCCTCCAACTCATCTCATTTCATCTCCTTTCTTACCTTTAAAAATAAACCAAACACAAGAAATGTGTCACATCATCCAACTTCATCACATCTTATTTTATCTCATTTTTAAAAATCACACACATCATCCAATAATATTGTGACAACTCATCTCATCTCATTAAACATTCCTTTCCACCCATTTCCTCAAAAAAAAAAAAACAAGAAATTAATTTCCTTAAGTACATGTCACATCATCCAATAATATACCTCCAACTCATCTCATCTCATCTATTTTCTTATTTTTAAAAACGAACCAAACACAAACAACCTCAAAACATCATCCAATAATATACCTCCAATTCATTTCCTTATTTTTTTAACCAACCAAACAACCTCAAAACAAGTTTTTAAAAAAATCACTCACATCATCCAATAATAAGGTGACAACTCATCTCATCTCATCTCCTATTCTATAATTTCCTTCTTTTTTAAGCCAACCAAACAACTTCAAAATAATTATAATAGGAAATAGGTTTCCTAAAGTTGAGGGACTAATAAAAAAACAAAATATTTGGGGTTTAATATTGAAAAGACCTATATTTTTGTGATAAATTAACGAACGCGTGCTATATATATGTGGGGGAATGAACATTTCATGTGTTTTTTTAGACTGAAAAAGCAATTAGGTGTGACATGTGAAGGATGTAGGTCAGTAAAGATGGTTTTTGTAAAAAAAAAAAAGAGCTATAGGTGGTAAGTATCGATTTTGCTAAAAGTTAAAGGTGGTTTTCATCTTCAAGCCCCTACAATTGAGCAATAGTACAAGAGGTATATCCGCAAGTAACCCCATAGTATATCTAACAGTTGACAAAAACTGACTATACCGTACCTTGAGCCTGCAATTCAAGAACCCGCTGTCTGAATCGAAGGAACTGAGAAACTTGAATCCTGAAGGAAAATGGGCTCACTGATGATGTTGTTGCTGGAAGTATCGTCGAGCCAGCAGCAGCAAAGTTGCAGCCCTTGAGAAAACTCGGGATGCCGATAGAATCCAAATATGGATGAAGAAAGGGTAGGTCCATTGCTTTCACTTCGGCAGATGAAATTTTAATTAATTTTATGATACACATTGATGCATTAGACTTAAGGTAAATGTCACAAGCCCTATAACACCAGAGCCCTGAAGTTTTTAATTTATATTTGGTAAAATGTAAAAAAGGGTAGGGTAGAATTTTTACCTTTAACCTGTTAACACGGTTTATGAGAATTTGCATTACTTAATGTGGTTTAGTCTACTTTTGAAAATTCAAGTGGGTTTCTATGATTTATAAAGTTTTAGGGGCTTCATCCTACACTAGAAGAATTGTTAAATAGATGCACAACTAAAAATATGTTTCAACTTGATTCAATTAAGAGTTAAATACTGTTTAGTCAAGACGAGTCGAGATAGATTAGCCTAGTCCGTCTTCATTAAGGCCATTTGCAACCCCAATTTTACTTATCACGTGCTGTTTCCCTTCAGAAAACAAACGTTGGAAGTATAGCAGAGTTACAAATCAAGGGTGATGCTTAAAAGACAAACAAAAGGTTGGTTGGTTGACCAAGCACCTAACTGTTTCCTTTGGTTCTTAGTATTATGGCTTCAACGACTCTGCTGTTCTCATATAGCTAATGAGCATTTGGACAATTTGTGCCTCCGATTTATGAGCTTCTGAGACTCTAAATTTGATGAGGGTTTGAATTGGAAACATGCGGAAAATAACGGAACATGAAAGTTTTAGTGAATGTTGAGGGTTATAATTTTATGTTCCTACAGAACTTCAAAGTCCTCGCGAATGTTGAGTATATGTAGCAAGTTTACATTCAGGTAAATTTTACTGAACTCCCACGAACTTTCAGCATTTTGCACCAAAATCCTAGTATCATTAATAATTGTACTGAACCCCTAATAACTTTTGCAGAAAACGCCAAATATCTTTGCGTTAATTATACTAAACCCCCAACTACTTTCAAAATGCTTTTTTATGTTGTTTTTTGGTTTTAATTTATGGGAATTATCTGCAAAATTGCAGAAACTTATTAGGGGGTTTCTGCAATTCCAAAAGTTATTGGGGTTTAGTGCGATTCAAAACTTATTGGGGGTTTATTCTATAACGCTGACAGAAACTTAGGGGTTTAGTGTAATTTGCTCTCTTATGTTCTAACATATGGCTTTGCAGATAGAGCCGTGGTCTGAAATCTAAATTTTTAGCTCCGCTCATTTTTAACTTTGGTCCTAAATACATGTCACCCAGAGTTGCACTGATCTGATCTTACAGTCTTTGAAGTTTTGACGTCGTTCTCAACAAAAACTCTAAAAGTTTTGATGTCATAATTTTATGCTCTCACAGTGAGAAGCATCAAGTATTAGGTTCTATCTAAATCTACAGTCAACTTGAGACTTTAGTTCTTGTGGTTCTCAACCGATACAAATTAAGCTTGAGATGTCATGCAACTTGTCAATAAAAAGGTTAAGAGAATGGGTATTTTTCAGATACTAGCTAGAGTATAGGAATTGTGGATACATCACCCTGTGCAGTCCATTAATTGTTTTGAACCTTCTACTCCTCTGGTTTTATTTTTGCACATAGACATCCTGAGTGAAATTTTGTTGACTCCTTTACCCTGGGGTTCTATTTGTTTTTTTAAAAAAAATTCTCGTTCTCTAGGTGTAAATAAATAAAAAAATCGGTCAGTGGGTCCACCTGCAAATTTAAAAATAGAGGGCGTAGTAGTATGTTCAAAAAATGACAAATTTTGAAAACCATCCTATTTGAGAAAATAATCACAAATTCCGACCTATTCTAAAAAAAATTGTGAAAATCGACCCAGTTTCAGCCGTCGGGTTGAAACTGGGTCGGTTTTGAAGAAAAATCTTCTGAAACTTCACAGGACTTCAAGTCCCGTGAAGTTTTTGTACATTACAAAACTTCACGGGACTTGAAGCCCCGTGAAGTTTCGGAACATATTTTGTCAAAACCGACCTAGTTTTAGCCAGACGGCTGAAACTAGGTCGGTTTTGACAATTTTTTTTTAGAAAATGTCGGAATTTGCGATTGTTTTCTCAAATAGGATGGTTTTCAAAATTTGTCCTTCAAAAAATATATTCTACAGGGTCTATCTACAAATTAAAAAATAGAGGGTAAAGTACGTTCAAAACATATATTCTACCTACAAGGAGGTCTATCCGTATAGTTAACCCTAGAATCAGTAATCATATTTGGTAATGCGCTTCTAAACCAATGTATATGTACTGTACGCATATGGTGTGTAAATACAGGAGAGAGAGAGAGAGAGAGATAAAATTAATTACTTAGAAAATCAATGATGAGTCGACCATCAGAGAACCTCCCAGCAGGGGTCTTAAAGTAATTTTCCCCATAGGGCAGCGCTAGGCTATCTCCAAGTCCAGCAACAAGTTCTCCGGTGTCAGAATTAGAGTCTCCGAAGTTGAAGACTGCTGGATAACTGAAGTCCACGGCAATGCCAAGCGTAGAATGAAGAAGCAGAAGAAGGGAGATAAAAGTGACTGAGACTCTAACAGCCATTGTAGCGTGTTGTAGAATGAAGAAGCAGAAGAAGGGAGATAAAAGTGACTGAGACTCTAACAGCCATTGTAGCGTGTTAAAGTTGTCGTGCCCGCATTCGTATTTATAGCTACTAGTTTTAGAAAGAATTTTAAGAAAGTGTAGGTACAAAGCAAAATGCGTTGCTTGTATTGTAATTTCAGGCTACTGCTCAGACGGAGCCTTGCTATGCCTAGAAGTAAAAGCTTTTTCGGTTGAAATATGAAGCAAACTCATGAAGGTGAAGGTCATGTTTATTTTTAGTAATTAAGTAGCATATACTAGCTTGTGAGAGATGGAATGATCAGGCTAGTTTTATGTTGAAATTGATGAAATATTGATTTTGCAGGTAATTATATATGAACAAGGAATCAAGTTTTCTTGGGGAGAGTCTAATGGAAACCCAAGAAGCGCAAAAGGCTAATGGTTTCTTTAATTAGCAACTCAAGGGAAAATCTCTACGAAAGATGGAACGAAAACCGCAGAAAACAATTATAGAAGCACAGAGATTAACGAGGTTCGACAATCAATATATGCGAGTGATTAATTACCTATGTTCCTAGAGTGTAAACAGGTCACTATAACACTAACAATCAACAAGGATTGCAACCAAATTCTGAAACCTTAATCCCACCTCCCTTTGTCATCCCTATTTTAGTAACAAGGATTGCAACCAAATTCTGAAACCTTAATCCCACCTCCCTTTGTCATCCCTATTTTAGTCTCTTTGGGATGCAAGTTCTGTACGTAGGTGGACCTTAATCCCACCTCCCTTTGTCATCCCTATTTTAGTCTCTTTGGGATGCAAGTTCTGTACGTAGGTGACTGTAATGCATATTTATATCATAGAAATTTTGTCTGGAGGGCCAAAATTATGGAAATAAGTCTTCACAGATAAACAAGTTTTATGGAAGTGGATTTTTCGAAAGATTTATGAACGTGCATATACTTTTCAATGTTGTGATATGGTAATATGTATTTTTTGTATCCTCTGATCGTTACATTAGCTAATTTGCATAAGAGTTAAACTAGTTAATTTATTTTCCGCACTCATATAAAAAGAAAATCTCAATAAAATGTGCTTCATGCCAGAGTTTGGATAGGATCCAAGATGTCAGCGCGCCGGTATAATCACACATTAATTTTGTTTACCAATTAGCTAGCTTTGAAGAAGAGTATATATATAAAAGATGATCTTAGTTCTTATATTAATATTTTACCATTTAGTAAATTAAAAAAAGTTCAATTCATCACATCCTCCGTATATATGCACTTTTCCCCCCCTTTCTGTTTGGCAGATTAAAGAGGTTGATTTTGTATAATCCTCCCTTTAATCTTGTATTAAACAACACTTCGAAGGTACTACGGGTGCAAGTTTACTAATGAAATAAACTTTTGGATCAATTGATACATTTGCAAATATCAAAGGAGATACCTTGATCTATTATTGGTTCTTCATGCAGCAGCCAGTACGTATTCGTGTTACATGGAATTTACCTGTAACCAATATGGACAACATATCCAAAGAATCAACTAGGATATTTGAAAATTTTCTATCTGTGATGTGTCTCGCATAGCAAAAAATAATGGATATATAGATGCTATCCATCCCATGACTTATATTATCCCATAACAACTAGGATAACAAGACTGAAAGCAGGAAATTACACAAAGAGGTTACCAAAAACAAATTAAAATTACTAATAGAGCTATTACAAATCGTTATTTTTTTCCTCCTTTATATTACCGAAATTACCGAATATTTTCTCCAATTACCAAACTACTATGTTTGGCCGTAGTTGAATTTTTTTTTTCATATGTTTACGCAGGGTTGCAGGTTGGACCTCCAATTTAAGCTAATAAGTCAATTCTAAATGTATATGAACTATCCAACATCACTTCCATCTGCATACGAATATATACACAGATCTGATATATTATGGTAATGATGCTCCGAAGAAAATCTAACGTTAGCGGATATAGATCGAGGCTTATAAACCGGTTCACGGTTCACACAATAGATATCTTTTTGATACGCTATTATATTTCGGATTACTGAATATTTTCTACAATGAAACTATTAGAATAACTACTTTCTGTGGCAGTTGATATTTGCTCATTTTTAGACAAATTTAAGGTTGGACCTCTAATTTAAGCTGACAGGTCCAAGTCCAAGCCTCCCCTTAGCCCAAGTTAGTTTTTTTAATGACCTGTAATTATTTTCAGAGAGTCAAGTCCACGCAAAATAAAAATGTGGCGGACTCGAAACAGCTCCACATTCTAAATCCAACGGCCGAGATTATCCCGTCAGGGTCCCAGATTGTAACGGAGCCCGATTTCGCATTTTTAATCTCTCAATTTACATTCAATCCCCATTTAAATGATAGACTAGAGAAAAATAATAATTCGCAATTTCTCTCTCTTTGTTCCTGTCTTCAATCTGAAGAATTCTAGGGTTTGCCTTCATCGAGAGGTCAGTCCAATCCTCTCCTTCAATCGATTCATTTACTCATCATTTCTTCTTTTTTTTTCTTATTTCAATATCTTGATTTTTTTTGGTATGTATTTTAGTGTTCGGCGCAATTACTGTTGATGACATTGCTTTTGCTTCCTCGATTGTTGGATTTAATCTGGTAAATTTCAAGTTTTGATAATGCTTGTATGATAAATATGAACTCTAGATGGTTACATGTCTCTATGATCGATATTAATCTGTTAACAGCTTGTGATTTATTCGATCAAAATCTGTTTTTTTACTGGAGTATTGGATTTATATCTAACTTTCGTGAATTAGTCCATTGTTATTGATAATTTTTCCTGAACTTGTTCTTGTGCAGATCAGGGATTTGAAAGTTGGGTATTGATAGAACTGCAACGATGAGATTGAGAAAAGGTAGCAAGGTGGAGGTTTTGAGCAAGATTGAGTGCTCAGGATTTGGTTTTCTGCTGATCGTTCGTCAGGGGGAAACGGCGTTATTACAATGTTAAGTTCGATCGTGGAGGTGTTGCGATGGGAAAAGTTCAGAGGAAGGAGATTAGGCCTTGCCCTCCTCCAATGGAGAGATGGGGAGATTTTAATCCTGGTGACATTGTTGAAGTTTTTGATAATAACTCCTGGAAGAGTGCAAAAATTGTAGAGGTTCGTGATAGTGGGAAGTACTCTGTGGTTATTCACTATGGATCCTCTAGCATGCTTGAAGTTCACAAATCCAACATAAGGGTGCGACAGTATTGGAATGGCAACGGATGGGTGTTGGTTGATAAGGTACCATCGTTTGTTTACTTTTCTTAACAATGCAAATTTTCTTGTATGCTAGTTGATTTGTGCCTCACATAGATTTTCCAGGCTAATTAATTAATTTTGTGAAGTAATTGGTGTTCTTTACTTTGTGTAGATTGACGGCGTTTTGCTTACGGTATCTGATGGATGTATTACTTGGTTGCAGGAGTCTGAAAAATTAAATGAGGGAGGGTTGAAGATACCATGCATTGGAGGAAAGGTCCACTACCAAAGATTGCAACGTTATGGAGAGGTGAGAAAACATGATGATGAACATTACCAGATTTCTCTAAGAGGCTTGAGGAAGAGGTTGGATAATGGAGCAGGAGCTGGGAGAAAGTTCGGAGCGGTGAGGAAGGTGGGTAAGCACCAAAGATTATTACCTGAAAAGGTAGATATTTGTGCTTCATCACGAATAATTTATGGTGATAATTACATGGATGCTTCCTTAAACAATAGAACAATTGAGATGCCTGAATCTGGCATGAACTGGGGAAATCCAAATGAAGATGTGCATTTCTTTCTTGGAAGTTTAGAACAAAGTGATTCTGATAGTCTTTCATCCTCTGTTGGTAGTTGTAGTCCTTGGAATAGTCGACATAGGTCATTTGACCAACCTGAGAATAATGCAAATCGATGTATGGGCCCTAATTTCGATGATAATGAAGCTTGTAGCTGCTCAGGACGAGAACCTAGAGAGCCTTTCCAACCTACAACAGAGGGAGGAACAGCTGAAATTCATCAATTGGAGTTAAATGCCTACCATTCAATCATGAGGGCATTATATGCATCTGGACCGCTAAGTTGGGAGAGAGAAGCTTTGTTAACTAATCTCCGTCTTATGCTTCATATAACAAATGATGAACACCTATTGGAGCTAAGACATCTAAACAACATCAAAAGTGATTTGGCTTAAGCATTTCAGGTCATTGTAGGAAATCATTTTATTCTATTTCTTTATTCTAGATTTTCAGTGTTGTTTTAAAGCTCGAATGAATTTATGTCCATTTATCAGTTGTTTAATTGCTGATATATACTAAAGAGAGTGTAGTACTTGTAGAAGTTTTGTATAGAATGTGTTATGAAGAAATAAAGTTCTGTTTACCTATGTTTCTGATTTTGGATTAGCTCCTGGGATATCCGGTGTTCCCAGTCTCGTCTTTCTCTCTTCTCTTCTCAGCTTATGCTATTCGATTAACTTTATCACAGAGTTCCTGGGTCCCCTCGTGAGTTGTCAATTTGCGGGAAGAATTGTGTTTCTGTTTAAGTTCTTTGCAATATTATATTTGTTTGCTAATTTACAATGAAGTCATTCGTAGTCACAACCCACTTTTGGCACTGTTTAACTAATGTGCTCTAACAATATGAGATGCATCTACCACTGGTTACTCGTGTATTCCATCATTTCATTGTAGGGATTCATTACGATGGATTAAAATGTTTTTTCACTAATTTTGGAATGTTGTTATCCCAGAAAAGTTTTGATGCTGTCAAATGAATCAAATATATCATTGCAAAGGCCATTTTAGAACCTCATTACATAGTCATCTTCGTAAAAAAAAATCTGATATTCCCCGTAATGTGATCAATTCAAGAATCATGTTGTCTGTTATTCTTGATTTGATTGAAAATTCTAGTTATTTGTGTTGCCTGCCTTGAGAGTGAGCAGATCCTCTGTACTCATTATTTACAAATACAGTTATACTGCTGGGTCAATTTTGGATTCTTTGATTTCGTTACATATTTGATCCTTCTCATGCGTTTTCAGGGCCAAAGTTGGAGGCCTGTAAAGCTTGCTTCTGTAGGTCCAAGATGCTGGTGAGCAATTTTCACCTATCATTCACAATGAAAGTACACCAACATCTTTCATTTGATTTAAACCAGTAAATTAGCATAGCACTTAGCCACTTACTGATATTCTCCGTAGACATGCTCAGTTTGATTTCAAGCTAGATGCCTAGTTATTTGTGCAATATCGATTTTTTTTTTAATTCAGATCATGACAAAAGACATACTATTTCATTTGTGATAGATTGTTGAGGTGCTGTCTAAGAACCTTCAACCTTATGTCTTTGATATTCTTGGGTTACATTTGAGTATTAGATACATATCTGATATGGATGCTTCTCCCTTGCAACACCAGACTACATAAGTTGGGACTGATAAAAAGTTTATCTAAAAAAGTACTAACCAGGACTTGTAGCAACCATATAATATACACCATTGTTTGAAAAAGCTTTTTTGAAACTCGCTTCGAAACTCGCTTCACAACTTATTGAAGGGTAAACACTTCAAAACTCAAGAGAGAAGCTATTTATCCCTTGAAGCTTATGCCTCATCGTTTAAAGCATAATCGAAGTGTGCGTTTCGCGCTTCATAACGCGCTTTTCTTTTGAAGCTCACGCTTAAGGCTATATAGTAGGACATAAAAGAATCTTTGACTAACATTAAAATCCCCTATATATTTTCAATATGACTATTTGACTGTAAATAAAATATATATGTTATGCATGTAGCGTAGTTTATCATAATTCATTTCTATACTTCACATATTTAATTCTTATTTACTAATCAAGACATGGATGTATATACTTGTAATTATTACACCACTATATATTATATGTTCGTAATTTTTACAAATTTAAAATTAAAATATTTAAACTCATGAAGCTTACACTTCGTGCCTTGAAGCTTACGCCTCGCTTCATCAAGGGGTCTAGCGCTTCCCCTTGCGCTTCCACTTTTTTAAACACTGATGTAAACTGACCCAAGTTTATGGATCAGCACTTGTGCATGCATATTTACAGAGAGATGATGTGCGTAGACTCATTATTGCTCTATTGCTGTTGTTATGTGCCACTAACATATGGCTCATTATTTATTTCCTTTTGTTGCTAATATGTGGTTTTACTGCTGAACTTTAGGAGGTTCAGTATCAAACTTTTTAGAGGAGCAACGTATACTCCATCATAACTCATAAAAAGTGCAGGAACTCATTTTCTGTAGCTTCCCTATTCATATCCTCAGTAAGCATAGTAGCATGTAGACTGATCAGTCTATTTACATTGGGTATAACTTCTCTGCGAGACTTTTTTTAATTGGGTTTGGTGTGTCAGCAATTTTGAACCTTACAGAGAAGGTATTGAAGTCTTATCCAAGATTGAATCTTATATAATGCCATGATGCCCTTCACAATTTTACGAGATGACTTAACATACTTTACCTGTGTTTTCCATTTTCTTTCATGGAACTTGCTAAAAACTTTCATGCCTTGCATTTACACGAATTATCTGTTGCATGGTTTATCCAGATGAGGTTTTGCAGTTTCACTGCAAACAGATCATGGAAGAAATCAGTATACACTGAAAGCTTGGCTTTGTTTTTCTCTCTTCTCTTTTTCCTTCTAAGCTGGCTTTCACGTGTTCATAATTTTAAGATTTTAGGAAGGATGTGGCTTTCACATGTTCTTAATTTTGGTATGGTTTCCAATTTGATCACTAAATGGACCAAAAGACAAAACTGTTTTCTTCTTTATGGAAGAGGGCTAATTGTTGTTCCTTGGGCTTTTTAACTAGTGAAAGTGCAAAAGCATTCATGTAGTCATGTTCTTTGGTACTGACTGTAAGTTCGTGAATTCTTTTAACAGGTGAAAGTTGTATACATTCTTTTTCTTTTTCATATTTCTATTAACACGACACAAAGATTTTCCATTTGCAACTTATTGTAAACATCCATTACTTTCATTTGATAGAGGATCAATTCACTCCAGTATGGCTTGATTCGCAAAAACTGTTGCTAAACTTGAGAGTACAAATATTTCTTTATTACTACAATTCATCAGCCTTAAATATTTCATTGTGTTCCTTCAATGCGATCCTACATCTGGTGGCATGATCTTGTGCATTCACAAGAATTATCTTCATGTATCTGTTATAATTTCCACCTTTTTGTGTTAAATGTACCTAATCATGATTAAGTAGCCCATTCCTCTAAAAAAACTTCCCTTCAATTTAATTGAATGGATAATGATGAATACAAAACAGTGAGCCTTGCAAAGCATAAAAGTGGGTACTGCTTATTGACTATGAACAAGCAATATCTGCTTCTTTTTCGAATGAACTTGTTGGTACCACTGAGTTGTATGAATTAAACTAATTAAGGAACATTTTGGATATGCTGTACTTGCCAGTTCTGATTGCAATGGATTAAAGTCCTTCCTTCTTATGTACATGTAAGGCAAAAGTAAAAACTTGTGGTCATGCAATTTTCTTGTTGAATTTGGCTGGAGGCAGAACCTTCAAGCACGCTTTGTAGTTTATGGCTATACCATAAACAAGTCCCCTATTGGGTTTCAAAACTGGAAATGGGGCAGCGAGCAGAAAAGACACTTCATCTTCATTGGGTGACTTACAATGTTAGTGATAGGTAAAAGAAAAATAGTTTTTACTTCAATTGTGTTATTGTTCATTATAAATCTTTAGAACATGTCTTGACTAAGATCATCAGCCGTATATCCGAATTATCAGGTAGATCTTTTTCATTATCACTAATATCTTTGTCAATATCACTAATATCACACATATGCGAATTATCAGGTAGATCTTTGTCATTATCACTAATATCGATATCAAAGAGCACAAAATATGAACTTAATAATCAGTATAGCTTTCTAACTTACGCTTTGTTACAAACAATATATATCACACATATACCATTACTTCTTATTCTCTTTTGGATTATGTCAAATTTTTTCATTCAATATTTATGATTATTAAGATGCAATCATTTTTGAGAAACTTGCTTCCTGTTGTCTAAATAAAGTTTTAATTCTTCATTTCCCCCTGCGTCATGCGGGGGTTGTCTGCTAGTACTATATACGAATGGATGTGGGGCTAGTTGACTCGATTATTAAACAGACCAGCTACAGATAGGACTACCTGACCCGTTTATAAAAAGGATGAGGTATGCATTCAGTTTTTGTGGGTCGGGTCAATTCTTGGTTTTACCTCCATCGAGCTATATCTATGGGAAAAATTCCTCATTTTTTGTTTGTTGAAATAATTACTTCGTACATGATTTTATTACAGACACACCATAGTTGAAGAATTAGCACAGCTTGGGGCTACAGTGTACACATGTTCTTGAAACGAAGCACAACAAATGCCTACATGAGTGGGAGAAATCAGAGCTTTTCGTCATAGCAACTTACAAGGACTCTTTAGCATTCAACAGAGAGCACAACATATTTGAGGTCTCTTTAACATTCAACAGAAACCTCAACATACTTGTACGTATTTAGGAAGTTTTATCCTGTAATTTTTTATTTATAAGAGAAGAATATAATTTTTCTGTCCCTCTGTAGGTTAATAATGCTGGAATAGCAATTTACATGAAAGCTGTGGATTCCAGTCTTGAGGACTATACGTCAATTATGGCTACTGAGTTTGAATCACCATTCCATCTGTGTCTACTTGCCTACTCTCTTCTTAAGGCATTGGGTAAAGGCAATATCGTAAATATCTCCCCAATTTCCAGGCTAATGGCTGCAGATGATCTAACTTTTTTGTCAGCAACCAAAGGAATAAAGGAAGTATTGTTGATTGTCATCTAAAAAAAAGAAAAAGAAAAAGAAAAAGAAAAATGATGTTTGTATTTTTCCTTCAGGAGCGATGAATCGGATGACAAGAAATTTGGCTTGTGACTTGTGAGTGGGCAAAAGACATTATTTGAACCCATTGTATCGCAGCCGGACCTGTTAGAATGGCGATGGCAGAGCCTGTAAGTCTTCCATTGTACATTTTTCTTCCCTGCACTTTCAGCTGTACTGATTCTTTATTGTTTGTCAGTTAAAATCCTGGTTGTACCAATGTTTGTACTTATGATTCCACATACCAACATCAAAAATATTTTGAGCTTTTTAACGGGAACAATAATATCGTCTTCAAAAACCATATCCCTCGAACCAAAAAAGAAGTTTCACTAGAACTGAGAACTCTAGAGTGTGCCATAACTTGTTCGCATGAGTTATTAGCATTTTCCAAATGGGCACATTACACTAAACACCTCAAAACTTTGCAGTAAGCCCCCAGTAACTTTCAAAATTGCATTAAAGCCCCAATGTCCTTTTGGAATTGCAGAAAATCCCAAAATAAGTTTCCACGTTTTGCAGAACTACCCCATAATTTTGAACTAGAAAACAACGTAAAAAAGCAATATGAAAGTTGTTGGGAGTTTAGTATAATTTACCCAAAAGATATTGGGGTTTTCTGCGAAAGCTGTTGGGAGTATAGTGTGATTTTGAAAGTTATTGGGGGTTACTACAGAACACTGAAAGTTCATTGGGTTTATTGTAATTTACTTTTTTCCAAATTGGTGAGGATAATGACCCATGGCTCACAAATTAGTACAACCTGGATGAAAACTAACAATTTACTAAAAGGTGACAAAATTATCGGAGATTGGCCAGTAATCAAGACCCGAAAATTGCCAAAAGCGTAGGTTCAGATGTGACCATTTAGAACACATCAAATACAAGTAAGAACATCATTGATCATACTTGTGCAAACATTAGGATGGACAGTGCCAATGCTTGTTATCCATAGGATAAGAACTGGCTATCTTTGTATTCGAAGGAGAATGTATAAAAACAAAAATCCACAGAACCAAGCACTCTTACCCTTATCCTTCCTTCGAAGTCTTCATTGAAGTCATAGTATTCTTCTCCCCATTCTGCTTCATTGAAGTCTTAGTATTCTTCTTCCCATTCTGTTTCAAAATGCTTTGCCTCATTCCTTATTTCTCTTCCTCTTAAGTTTTAATCACCGAAATTCTAATCGCCGTTTGCATTATATATTCAAGTTTAAGCAAGGAAGTTATTAATTTGGATGAGTTTATATTCTTTTCTCATAGCTGATATAGGGTCTCAAAATTAGTGCAAAACTAGCCGTGAGCATTCTTGTAGGGCGTATTGGTGGATAGGAGGAAATATCATCTGTAGTTGTGTTTCTTTGCATGCCTGCTATTTCTTATGTTACCGGTCAAGTGATTTGCGTCGATGGAGGATGAACAGTGCATGGTTAACAAATACTATGATTTGCCAAAAATTGGACTTGATATAAAATTTCATTTTTGATTAATAGAATAAGTCTAGATGTCACAAAGTTGTCTCTGCCATTAGAGCCCTAAATTCTAAACATATGTAGTATGTAACTTTATATCTGATGTGCTTCCAGGAAACTTCCTGCGCTCTTCGACTACGTGGCCAGCGCTGATTGGGGATCGTGGAAGGGGTGGGTTTATATGAAAAAAAATCCAGCGATTGCTCTCTCTCTCCCAACTCTCAGCCCCAATTCCTGAGCTCGAGCCTCTTCCCCTGAGCAAAACCCCAAATCAGCTCTTCCCTCTTCCCCTGCCAAAACCCCAATCGAAGATCCGACGTGGCTCCGACCCCCATCGAACATCCGACGCCGACCCCTTCTCCGATCCCACGACGACGTGGCTCCAAATCGCTCAACCCTCTTCCCCTTCCAAAACCCCAATCGAAGATCCGACTTGGCTCCGACGTGGCTCCGACCCCCATCGAAGATCCGATGCCGACCCCTTCTCCGATCCCACGACGACGTGGCTCCAAATCCCCAAATTGACCCCCATCGACCCCAGATCACGCCGGAGCTTGAGCTATCCCTGCGCTCCAGATCACGCCGACGCCATTGACCCCCATCGAAGCTCCGACGCCGACGTGTGTTACGGGTCCCCCGCCGACGCTGGTCAGGTCAATTATTCCCCAGTCTCTCTCACGCGTGACCCCCATCTCAATCTCTTCGTTTCTCTCAGTCTCTCTCACTCTCTGTCAGCCTCTTGCTTCTGCTCAGAACCAAATCCACAATTCCTGTGCTCCGACCCAAAGAGAATGTGAGTATATCCCTTGTGAGCTGAATTCCTGTCATGCATTAAGTTGTTTGCATATCCCTTGTTAATGACATAGATTTGCTGCAATTATTGGTGCGATAGTGATATATTTTTACCTATTTTGTTGTTTGCATATCCCTTGTTATGGCGTGTCTGTGATTTGTGTACCTCTTGAAGAAAACTGGACCACAACCAATTGGTACGGCAGTGTTACATTTTGTGAAGTTGATAATGAAATAAATTGATGAAAGAAAACTAGGTGTGAATGGAGGGAACTGAAGCAAAATAGTTAATGCATAAGAGAAATTATCCTAGACAATGTATTGTGGGATATTCAGAATATTACTATTAATCATGCACCTGATTGGCATGAGTTTTTTCATGGGAAAATGTGCATATATGGAATACTCTTTTTTATGATTCATACTATGTCAACAACTTCAGTCATTTCATTCAAATTCAGTAATATGGAAAATGTCAACAAGTTCAGTAATATGGATGTGCAAGCTGGTTTCAGCAAATACATTACATAAGCTGGTTTTTGCGTTCGGTCATTTCATTCAAATTATGCCTGAGATAAATTGCAGAAGAGGGAAGAGCACAAGTATGATTGAGTCATTTTCTAAGAAGGAAAAAGTTAAATTGACTTTTTGTATAAATTTTATCTTGTTTGTGATATGTTTTTTGCAGATAAAAGATGAAGAACTTTTCGGAAGAGTTCAGTGGAGAAGAAGATGAGGGTTTAGTGCAAAGAAGATGTTATTGTGGGTTAATTTGCAGAATATGGATGTGCAAGCAAGGCCACAATAAGGGCTTGGAATTTTATGGATGTCCGAGATACAAGGGACCTAATTGCAAGGGTTGCAACTTCTTCGAATGGGTGGGTGATACCAAGAACATCACAAAAAGGCTGGAAAAGCTGAAAAAAAAATGACGAGGTTTTGATAAAATGCTGAAGGATGTAATTTTATATTTAAAAGTTATTATTATTGTTGTCCTGATATTGTTGCTCTGTGTTATAGCCAAATTACTGAGTAACATATAGGAATGTTTCTTCGTGTTTGTATCAGTTTCATAATATTTTTGGAAACTTCTGAAATTTTGTTGTTGTGTTGGTGTGCTGGACATATTGTTCTTTGGAGTTAGTTTTGAATGCATTAAATTCTTGATTTTGTACATAAACATGAATGCATTGTTGTGAAACTTGGAAGATGAGTGCCAGTTTTGTTCTCAATAACAATTCTTATATGGACCATGAATTCGAGTGCAGATGTTTGGTTAATTGCTGATCAAATTTTCCATGTACATAAACAGTTTTGTTCTCTACATCCTAGAGGTAACAAGAATTTATATCTATCTAGTGCAGATGTTAGTGATTGAGATATGTCATGATTAGGTATTTATTTTGAGAGTAGTTATTCATGCTAATGGTTTGTCCTGATATATTGGAAATACCCATGAAAACATTTGTGAAACCCTTTATGTGAGGAGCGAACTGAAATAACCCTTTATTGGAAATACCCATTAAATTCTGATTCTATATGGATAGCTAGATAGTTATCTGATCTTGCACGACAATACATCGTAAAGGAGCGAACTGAAATAACACATAATATGTGAGGAGATCTGAAAGTTTAAATTATCAGATTCATATTGTCGTACTGAAGAAATCATGAATAGAATACATGTGATTAAGCTCACTTATTCCAGTACAATCTACTTGTGTTTGAAGTTCTCGCAACTGTTCAAGTTCCTAATGCTGATACCAGTACAGACATATTGAAACTCGGAAAAAAAATACGAGACTTATAATCTTGTTAAGGACATGATGCGGTGCCTTCTCATACACTTTAGATGCAGGCATCAAAAGAACTTATCACGAACAATGCACCAGCAGAATAGAACAAAATTGAAGGCTCTTTACAACAAGGAACTTCATGTAATAGGTAAACAACCTCATACAAACATAAGAAACACACTGCTAAGCCAAACATAGACCTCTCAGCCTAAAATTAATTGGTTGTAAATTACTAATGGCTGTCAGCTTAGTACTAATAAGCCGCGGTTGGACCCACAAGTCAAATAATCAAATATCCATTCAACAAAAGGATATGAAACATGACGACGCAACTAGATCAAGCATCTGATAACATCACACAAGGGTTCAAAGACTAAATTAAGCTACACTTCCATGTTCAATCAAATGATGTTCCAAGAGAGACTTCTGTTTGCTCAAGACGATTCTCCCCATCCACCATAGTCCTCTCCCTCACCTTTGTCCTCCTGTTAGTTTGCCAGCAAGGAGAATATGAGACAATGTACGTGCATAAGCAGACAACAGTTTTAATCCAAATAACAATTCTCAATAAACTACTGCACTCGAATACAAGTACCCAAACTGCTTCTTCATGGTCCATGATGCCTGCTGATGTGGTTAACACAATGTACCCAAACTGCACATTTTATCAAAGAAAAAGAGTGTCAACGTCACCTAAAAGAAAATGTTAACAAATACAACATCAGATTTGAAAATATTGCATTACTACAATATACTCAAAGGCAAAATGAAGATTCATCACCATTTCTTAAAAAATGCATCTCCATAAACTTTGTTCGTTAGTCTTGATTGTCAGTTTCGCTGCATAAAATATGAAAGATAAAATTAATATTACGATTTAAGTAATAAAATATTTTAACTTGTCAACGTACTTAAACATACCTCGGCTTGTTAACTGTACAGCTAGTCCTATAATGCCCAAGTTGTCCACATCTACTACATGTACGCTTTTGCCTCTCTTTCTTTTCTCGTGCTTGTTCTAAAGTTGATTTAATTCTTGTAGCATTGCGTGGACACCTTTGGTTCTTGCATGTTTTTCAGGGTCACGAACTGTAATTTGTGGAATATGCTAGATTGTATGTGAAGTAGGTATCTGTGGAATATCCGAGTCAGGAATGTGGCTGCTTCCAGCATCTATTGCTTGACACCCTCTGACTTCTTCTTCAACCCTCTCTATGAAACTTGTTAACAAAGAATCAAGCTCATGCATCCTCTTATCTGACTCAAAGGCAAGCTCCAGTGCATTGTTGGTTTTTGCTTTTAAAGCCCAAGGTTTCAACAAATTGATTTTTTCTACACCACCTGCAATGTTTTTGCCAAACACAACATTACTAACTCCAATGTTATGATGTCGAGCATCTATAGTCCAACGGTGTAGGATATATACACTGGGCAATGAACAGCATTGTCTGTTGAACATTAGAGTGTACAAAATATGTTTGCATAGAACACCACTATTCTCAAACAAACTACAACTACAACTATACTGTACTTCTCTACATTCATCATAAGTAACAAACCTCCACTTTTCATTGCTTTCATCTAAGTCACCAACTCGCCATAAAACAGACTTTTCTTCTTTTCTCTCCTCTAGAAGGCCAAGAACACCACACCCTTTGATCTCATTCTGAAATACATGAAACATAGTGCGGGTATAACTACTTCCAGCTTGTCTTTCAATTGGATGCCCAAGGTGAAACTGCGGTTTTGTATTAAGAGTTCTAAAATCTTCATGTGCTTCACTCATTCGTCGATGTGTAACGACCTTTTCATATTGAGTTACAAATTCTTTTAACTGTGTTTGTAAATTCACATATCCATCAAAGAATGAGTTGATGCTTTCACTCCTTTGAGTTGATCTCATTCTTGCAAAAAAAATGCCTTTTAAGAAGCATGGCACCCAATGGTCTCGATACATGTAAATATTTTGCAGCCATCCATCTTCTTCTTCTATTATCTTAAACTTCTCCTTCATCTTGTGCCAATGCAAATTACAGTTCTCAATGTTACCACTATTACACCACAAGTCCCAATATTTTTGAAATTCTTCACTATAAACAGAATTCAAAGAATACAAATGATCGGCAATATGTCGCTGCAGATGCCAATAAAAATAACGATGCCTTGTGTTTGGAAATACTTTATGAATGGCATTACACATTGCTCGGTCTTGATCTGTGATGATAGCACCTGGTTCAATTCCATGCATGCAGTTTAACCATTCCTGAAACAACCAAACAAATGTTTCTTCTTGTTCATCAGCTAGCAGTGCGCAACCAAATAAAGTAGATTGCCTATGATGATTCACCCCAGTAAATGGTGCAAATGGAAGACTAAACTTATTGGTTTTATAAGTCACATCAAACACAATAACATCATTAAACTTCAAATAAGTTGCTCTTGATTTTCCATCTGTCCAAAAAACACTTCTCATTTGTCCAGTACAAGCTACTTCTAATGCAAAATAAAAATCTGCATCACTAGCCGTCTTTCTTTAAAAATATTGGATAACAGATATGCATTCATTGCCAATATTGTTGTGCCTTTGAGTTTTCATATAGTCAATGCATTGTTGTGGTGTCACTGATTCATCTTCTCTTCCACATGTCGCGTTAATAACACGAGAAATAGTGGAAGGAGTAATACCTTCTTCTTGCAAACATTCAATCATTTTTTTACACCTTTTACTTCTATGAAATTGTTGTTGTGACCTGTGCTTCTTCTTGCAAACATTCAATCATTTTTTTACACCTTTTACTTCTATGAAATTGTTGTTGTGACCTGTGCATCTTTGCTTTATCTGGACTACTGAGCATGTGGTTTGTATGATCTTCAATAAAACCTACAACTATTCATGTTTTATCCTCCAATAATTTTATTCTCATCATTGCTTTACAGCTAACTCTGGTCTCTCGCCGATGATTGATATTTTCCCCTATATCTCTCTTGTCTTTATTAGATCTATAACCTTCTTTGTCACAAACAAATTTTCTATTCAACACTTGTTTATCTTTTTGGGAGTAATTCACTGAACTTTTTCTGATTCCAAATCCCATCATCAAAGCATACGAGTTATAATAGTTGTAGGCCTCTTCATGACTACTAAACTTCATTCCTAAACACGGTTTTTCACCAATTTGCATTCTGAAAATAAAGATAATTGGGGGTCAATATATAATGTTACTCAATGTTACTATTTCAAACAACATATTTCATGTCAGGGAAATTCATGATATTAATGAGGTACCTTGAAACAGGCATCGTTGTTGGAAAAGGCATGAAATCGTTGTTGTTGTTATTATCACCATGAATATCTTCGCTACTATCACCAGGTTCAGCCATTTGTCTTCTTTTTAACCCCTGAAAGCTCTGAGAAATTGCTCCCCAGAAGACAAGATCAAAATGACTGCCAAAAAAAAAATTTAACAGAGTTGAGAATTAGAAATACGAGTGTTGTAAAACCCTAAGCACTCAAGTGGTCAATGTAAGAAAATTTTCAGTGGTATGAAATTTCAGTTAGCATTCAAGTGGTCAATGTAAGAAATCTCTTTTCGAAAAAACAAAGCGAGGTATGAAATTTTCAGTTAGCATTCAAGTGGTCAATGTAAGAAAATCAGCCTCAAATCACCAGAAAAAACCCTAAGCACTCGTATGACAAGAACCAAGGCCAAAGTTAGGGGGGTTTCAATGTTCAGGGGGGTTTCAATACCTCACTAAAAAAAACCTTGATTAGCAATAAGTTCAGGGTTTCTTCTGCAATTTATTCCAGTATTCAATTTATTCCAGTATCAAAATTACTCAATTTGTTCCAGTATCAAAATTACTCAAAATTACTCAATTTGTTCATACAAAAGGCAATTTATTCCAGTATCAAAATTACTCAAAATTACTGAATTTGTTCCAGGCCCTTATTGTATATCACACTTTATGTAATTTGTTCCAGGCAATTTGTTCCAGCCATAATTTCTTCTGCAATTTATTCCAGTATTCAATTTATTCCAGTATCAAAATTACTCAATTTGTTCCAGTATCAAAATTACTCAAAATTACTCAATTTGTTCATACAAAAGGCAATTTATTCCAGTATCAAAATTACTCAAAATTACTGAATTTGTTCCAGGCCCTTATTGTATATCACACTTTATGTAATTTGTTCCAGGCAATTTGTTCCAGCCATAATTTCTTCTGCAATTTATTCCAGTATTCAATTTATTCCAGTATCAAAATTACTCAATTTGTTCCAGTATCAAAATTACTCAAAATTACTCAATTTGTTCATACAAAAGGCAATTTATTCCAGTATCAAAATTACTCAAAATTACTGAATTTGTTCCAGGCCCTTATTGTATATCACACTTTATGTAATTTGTTCCAGGCAATTTGTTCCAGCCATAATTTCTTCTGCAATTTATTCCAGTATTCAATTTATTCCAGTATCAAAATTACTCAATTTGTTCCAGTATCAAAATTACTCAAAATTACTCAATTTGTTCATACAAAAGGCAATTTATTCCAGTATCAAAATTACTCAAAATTACTGAATTTGTTCCAGGCCCTTATTGTATATCACACTTTATGTAATTTGTTCCAGGCAATTTGTTCCAGCCATAATTTCTTCTGCAATTTATTCCAGTATTCAATTTATTCCAGTATCAAAATTACTCAATTTGTTCCAGTATCAAAATTACTCAAAATTACTCAATTTGTTCATACAAAAGGCAATTTATTCCAGTATCAAAATTACTCAAAATTACTGAATTTGTTCCAGGCCCTTATAATTTTCATTTATGAGTTTAAGTACTATTTAAAAATCAAATTCTTTAGTTGAATAAATGTACTTTGACATTTGATAAGTGTTTGCAAATATTCATGAATATTTATCAGATACCACGTATTCAAGTTCAAATTCGAAAACCTCCAGATATGAATATTAGCGTTCACAATCAAATTAGATAACTTTAAACAGGTATAAATATGAATGCGTTAGTATTCTATTCAATATGATCGTTTACCACCCCCTCCTTCTCTCAACTTATTTTATTTGCATATATACTAGTTATAATAAAATATAACAGCTTATACCATCTAAAGGTATAATAAAATTCATTAAGAAACATAAGTTTAATAAGAATTCAGTGAAATATTTTGGGTCAAAGAGTGATTTTATTAGTAAATGGGATTTAAAATAAATGGGGGGTAAAATTTGAGTTTATAGAAGAATAACCAGTGATATTATACTTTATAACATTATGATATAATTTTTATGGAAGTTAATGGAGCATTTTGAGCCATTTGAGGAATTGGGTGGGATAGATAATAAATTAGGATAAACTAGGGTTTGTAGGTGAAAATCCTAGACTTCTCCTTATATTTTTCTTAGGGAAAAAATGTGTCCAGGCCCCAAAAGTAGGAACTTCGTGTGACTAGCCCCCCTGTACTTTGCCCCATGTGGAATAGCCCCAAAAAATGAGCTTTAATGTTTTAAGCCCCCTCCACGTCAGCTTTATACTAAAAGCAGATCGTATTTTACAAAAAAACCAAAACTGCCCTTCTCTTTCTTCCCCAGACGAGTGCTGGTCCCGAACAACAAAAGTCGTTTCTCATTAATGCGATATGATGGGGAAAATGGAGGGAAATTTCCCCCTTTTTTTACTCCATCATGAGCAATAACTAGTTAGTTCTCCATTACTCTTCCTCCTCAGACCAAAATTCTCTCCATAACTCTCTCCATTACTCTTACTATCCCTTCAAAATGGCTGAAAAGGACATCATCTGCATTGTCTCTTCGCAGTATAAAGCGGTATTCTTGAAGATTAATTCTTCAACCACCATCTTGGATCTCAAGTTTGATGCGGCAGAGAGGTTAGATCTTCCATACGAGTCATTAATTTTGGCATACGAAGATCAAACAGTTGGAAGCTTAAAATTTCTCATTGAGAACGATGGTGATCTGACGTCTATGGTGGAGCATTGCCACAATCTTGGACTGAAAGAGGTTCACATGCAAGCTTTTAAAGAAGGAGATGATTCTTCGAATAAACAGGAAAACGAGCAAGTCCGATAAGACATGTAGGTTAACTGTAAAATCAATTAACTTAAGTTCTAATCGTCTTATTGTTAGTTCTATACTAGGTTTAACTGGACTTCAGTTCTAATGTTTTATTTGTCATTAAGCAGTTCTTTGTTATGCTCCATACTAGAGTTCTAATGTTTTATTTGTCAGTTCTAATCGCTATTTTGTTAGTTCTACTAGAGTTATTGCTAGTTCCACTATAGTTCCCATATTGTTAGTCCTAATTGTTATAAATTAGATATAACGTGGTATAAATTAGACAATGTAGGTATAAAATAGAACTAACAAGACATCAGTTAGAACTGACACTAACACACTACAGATTAGAACTAACACTGTGCATATTATTAGAACTAACACGCTACAGAATAGAACTAACAATGTGCAGATTAGAACTAACACTCTACAGAATAGAACTAACACTATGCAGAATAGAACTAACACTGTGCAGATTAGAACTAACACTCTACAGAATAGAACTAACACTGTGCAGATTAGAACTAATACTCTACAGAATAGAACTAACACTGTGCAGATTAGAACTAACACTCTACATAATAGAACTAACACTGTGCAGATTAGAACTAACACTCTACAGAATAGAACTAACATGTTATAGATTAGAACTAACACTCTACAGAATAGAACTAACACGTTATAATTTTGAAATAGCTTGTTATAAAATAGAAATAACTTCGTTAAATTAGAACTAACCTTTAATGGCTATATTGTTTGTTCTAATAGCTATTATGTCAGTTCTAATCAATGCACTGTTAGCTCTAATGGTTATATTGTTAGTTCTTTCTAGTTCTAATTGATTCTAACAGCAAGCAATTGTCGTTTTTGCTTTTTAGCTTTTGCTATTATCTGTTGATACTTCTACTATTTGTTCAGTTTGAACTCAAAAAGTGTAGACTGTGGCTCGTCGGCGTTGTGGACCACAAGTGTTCTAGATAAGAATCCCAATGACAATCCTTCCGGAGATGATGTCATGACGATTGATGACATGATTAGCAGATCAGAGAGGATTCCTGCTTGGTGGCACACAGCTTTAACCGGTGAGGGACAACGATTTGAAAGTGCGAAGGAGTTAAGATTGGCCTTGCTATACTACTCCATGGCAAAAAAATTCGAATACGAGTTTGGGAAGAATGAACCGAAGCGTATTCGAGTGTTTTGTCGGTTTAAGGAAGCCAAAAATTGTCCGTGGATGTTATTTGCCTCTCCACCGAAAAATGATAATAGACTTGAAATCAAAAGGTTTGTGGACAATCACAGTTGTGGGCAGCATGGCAATAATGCTGGTCAATCTAGAGCCTCAAGGCGATTCATTGCTACCCAATTACAACCCACGTTAAAGGTTCGACCGGATATACGGCCTATTGACGTTCAAAAGGAGTTTCTAAGCTCGTATGGGATTAGGGTCGATTATAGTAAGATTTGGTGGGGTAAAGAAAGAGCACAAGAGAAATTATATGGTGATGCCCATGAGTCCTACGATCAATTACGATGGTAAATAGAAGATGATATATAACAAAAGACAAACTAATTTCCTTTATGTGACGTTGATTATACTAATTTTTCAATGTTGGTACTAACGCTTAATCTTCAATTTTCTAGGTATGTAGAAGAGGTCAAGAAGACAAACCCAGGTAGCTATATTCATGTTGAACAAAATGAGGGGAGGTTTACAAGGTTATTCATATGCTACGCCGCCTGCATAAATGGTTTTTTATACGGCTGTAGACCACTCTTATTTTTGGATGGTACCTTTCTTAAAGATCGATTCAAAGGCATACTCCTAAGCGCCGTAGCATATGATGGAAATCAGGGGATATTTCCATTGGCGTATTGTATATGCGATCAGGAAAATAATGTTAACTGGAAGTGGTTCTTACAAGGTTAGTTCTATCCCTAGCCATGTTAGTTCTGTTGCAGGTTATGATAATTCTAGCTCATTCATTGCTAACTCTAATTCGTGTATGGTAACCACAACTCTTTGTAGGTTTGTGGTCTATTCTCTATGAAAGGCCAGATCCATACAACCCTCCACACAAGCTAGTGATAATTTCAGATGCGGATAAGGGGATCAGAGAAGCAGTTAGAGAATTTTTTCCAGATTCTATACACTCTCGATGTGTGTTGCATCTAGTTGAGAACTTCAGGACAAAGTTGAAGGATTTGGGATTCAAATCAAAAGATACTCAGATCTTGGGTAATCTATTGCAATCTGCCTGTTACAAATATACTAGAGCAGAATGGAACGATT